GTGGATCAGCAAGGCAATGTCTGACGCGGGCGAGTCGAGATCGAGCATTATCGTCTTCGAGGGCTTCTCGGCCGGTGAGGACTACGACTTCTACACGTCCAACTACATGCTGATCACACTGCTCCCTGCGACAACGTACTTGGTGAGCATCGTCGCGGGAAACTCGGAAGGGACTGGAGTCGCCTCCGAGACGCTCTCGTTCGACACTCTCGCGTCGACCCCGGGCAAGCCGATGGCTCCTACAGTCGATCTCTCTCAACAGTTGCCAGCCCTCTCTGTCAAGCTCGACGAGACCCCGCGGGCAAACGGTGAGGTCCTCACGTTCTACCAGTGGCAGGGCAAGCGAGGAGGTGACTTCGTCGATGAACCCGGATCTTGCACTGCGATCAACACCGTGCTGGGATGCCAGATCCCGGGCGACCAGTTCGACTTCATCATCCCAGGCTTGGACATGGACTCGCTTGAATCTTCTTCTGATTCCTTCCGATTCCGCGTCCGCGCGTACAATAGCATCGGCGCCAGCGAGTGGTCCGAGGTGGCAACGGTGACTCCCGCGGACCTCCGGCCAGCAGCGCCGGTTCTGAACACAGTCACGTTAGTCAGCGGTTCGATCGACATCACCTGGACAGCGGGCACTGGCGTCGGCGCGCCCGCGAGCAACTACAGGCTGGAGATCAACGAGGGAGACTGCACGGGTGTTGACGGCTGCAAGACACGGCTAGTAGTGGTGAGCGCGCAGACCTTTTCCCATAGCGAGGGGACTCTTCCAGGCACTGCCTACACCGTCCAGGTCTTTGCAACCAACGCTGCCGGCACATCCGACCCGTCCGACGAGCAGACCCTCACCACACCTGCCGCGCCTCCCTCCCCTCCGCCGCCCTCGCCGCCGCCATGGTCGCCAGGCCACCACGACCCGCCCTCCTTGCCGCCCTCGCCAAGTCCGCCGCCCTCGCCGCCGCCGCCGTTGCCGCCGCCTCCTTCGCCGCCGCCACCGCCCTCACCGCCGCCACCATCGCCTCCGCCGCCCTCGCTGTCGCCCTCGCCGCCGCCACCCTCGTCGCCACCACCCTCGTCGCCACCGCCACCGTTGCCGCCGCCACCGTCGCCTCCGCCGCCATCACCGCCGCCACCCGTGCCACCGCCGCCATCGCCGCCGCCACCCGTGCCACCGCCGCCATCGCCGCCGCCGCCCCTGCCGCCGCCGCCCTCGCCGCCGCCTCCGTCCGCCTCGCCCTCGCCACCGCCGCCCTCGGCGCCGCCTTTCTGGCCCAACGTGTCCCCCCACCCGCCTTCCTCTCCGCCACCCAACCCGCCTCCGCCCTCACCGCCGCCGCCCGTGCCGCCGCCGCCCTCGCCGCCGCCGCCCTTGCCGCCGCCCCCTTCGCCGCCGCCGCCCGTGCCGCCGCCCCCTTCGCCGCCGCCGCCCTTGCCGCCGCCCCCTTCGCCGCCGCCGCCCGTGCCGCCACCGCCCTCGCCGCCGCCAACATCGCCACCGGCGGTTGTCTCGGATCCTCCGGCCAACCTCAGGGAGGGCGACGGGGTCGCCGATGGCAGCCCCCTGGCGTCGTCTCAGATTCACGTCAAGTGGAACCGACCGGGAAACGACGGCGGTAAGCCCATCGAGCAGTACTGCCTCACGGTCGACGACGTCACCAACAGTGGCAATCGTCGGGAGGTGCTCGCCTACAAGTGCTTGGGCGAGTATTACCTCGGTAGCGGCCCCAGGATGGACTACTACTTTACGACGGATGGCATCTACCCCGGTCAGACGTTCGAGTTCAGCGTCGTCGCCAAGAATGAAATAGGCGACAGCCAACCCGCGACCGTGGAACTGGCGACGGCGAGCTCGGTGCCGGACCGCCTCGACACGCCGGCTCTGCTGCGCACGGAGCCGGCGGGCAAGCTCCTCCCGTCCAACATTACCATCGGCATCCGCGAACTCTCCCCAGAACGTAGCGGCGGCGGCGACATCACTCGGTACGAAATCTACGAGAGAGGCACGCTGGTGGATTCAATCGAGGCGGGAGAGGTGGCTGGGAGGCTCACCAACGGCTACATCGAGTACTCACCGCCGGCGTACAACGTCTACGAGCAGTACCGCTTCAAGGCGAGGGCCGTCTCGACCGAAGGGAATGGCACCTTCTCGTACGAGCTCGTGATCAATGCCGCCGCGTCGAATGCGCCAATTCCGGTGAACGTGAAACTGCCGGGGATTGGGCCGCGCTACATGGACGTGGAGTGGGAGCTGGAGACGGGTCAAGATGGCGAATGGGACCGAGTTCTGATCACGCTCACATGCAACGGGGAGGACTGTGAGGACAGCGACATCGAGACAGACGTGCGGAACCCGCGCGACCCCACGATCTGCAAGGAAGACGGCGGGGCATGGACATGCTCATACAGGGCCTCTGGCTTACGGCCAAGCACAGAGTATGCCGTCACCGTCCAGTCGGGCAAGGGCGGTGCGTACAGCCAGTCGTCTCCGATCACTGACGAGTCGCGCGCGACAACCCTCTCCGGGGCGCCTCAGCCGCCGGTCATCAGCGCGGCGCAGCCGACGCGGACTTCGGTCAAGCTGGGGTGGACGGTGCCGCGCGACAACGGAGCGGGCATCGCTGGCTACGTCGCTCGGTATGAGGCAGCGGGCGGAGGCGAGGGTGCGGTGCTGCTCGACGACGATGGGACCGCTCACACTTCAGGTCCCGTGAACGCGTCTCTGAGTGACGACGCGCTCTGCGAGCTGGTGCCGACCGCGGCCGCGTCGTCCGTCGAGTCGACCCTCGAGTCCGAGCTGGTCGGCCTGCAGCCGGGCACAACCTACGCCCTCTCCCTCGTCGCGTGCAACTCTTACGGCGCGTCCACCGAAGCGACGGAATCTGCGCACACGGAGAACGTGCCCGATAAGCCCGACCCGCCGTCGCTTGGCAGCGGCAAAACCAGCACCTCTCTCAACATTCAGTGGGAGCTGCCGTCGGGTGACTGCCGCGGCGATCCGGACGGCTGCGTCGACGACCATGACCTGCCCGTCACCGGTTCGGAGCTCGAGTTCGAAGGCGTTGCCGCGAACTACTCGGCCGTGACCACCACCACCAGCAGGGACAATCTGCAGCCCTTCACGGAGTACAAGGTGCGCGTGCGCTTCTTCAACAGCCTCGGCGCCTCCAACTGGTCGGACGTCGACTACCTGATTACCGCCCCCGACGTGCCCAGCAAGCCCGACCTGGACCAGAACAGCTGTGGGGAGCCGGTCGAGGGAACAACTCACCTGACCTTGGTCAAGGGCACCCTCGTGCCTAACGCGAACGCGATCACCGAGATCGAGGTCGAGACGAAGCAGACCGCCGAAGGCGAATCGACGGCCAAGGTGGACGCCTTCTCGGGAACGGACCTCGACGAGACAAGCCTCACGCTAACTCGCCAAGGCACTGGCTTCATCGACTACCGAGACTACAGCGTGAGCATGCGCGCCCGCAATCAGCTGGGGTGGTCGGAATGGTCCAGTGCAATCACGTGCAGCCGCTCTCCCGAGACGGACGCCGAGCCGCCCCAGAACCTGGAGGCGGTGCCGCTCGGCCCGGCCGTCGAGGTCCGTTGGGAGATGCCATCCGCTAGCACCTGGGAAGACTTCATCGTCCGCCTCGAGCCGATCCCCGAGAGCTCAGGGGGGCGGCGGCTGCTTCAGGGCTGCACCGTCGAGGCGCCGCAGCCCATCGAAGTTGACACTGGCAGCATCAGCTGCTCGGAGGTGCAGGGCGGCCGCAGGCTCTGCGAGTTCAACGTGACTGGCGGCACGCCAAACACAAACTACACCGTCAGCGTCCTGTCGAGGACCAGCCAGGGGACGTCCAAGACCCCGGCGCAGCTGCCAGTCGTGAGGACGCCGCCGGGGCCGCCGCAAGAGCCGCAATGCCTCTCGCTCGCCGACATCGCCGATACTTCCTTCCGCCTCGGCTGGCTGAGGCCGCGCGACCACGGCATCGCGATCGCGGGCTTCCTCGTGACGTACGCAGGCTCCGGGGCGGCGGCGACGGTCGGCGTCGGCTCAGGCGGCGAGTCTGTGCCAGGGGCAGACAGCTGCTCGGCTGTGGCAGGTGCGCCAGCGTCAAGCGCCGGGCCTGAGGGCGGCGAGGTCGTCACCGAGCTGAGCGGTCTACAGCCGGGCACGAGCTACGCCATCAGCATCACAACTTGCAACGCGGACGGCGATCCGTCCCCAGATAGCGCCGTGCTGAACGCCAGCGAGGTGCACACGTACGCCATCCCCGACAAGCCGGCGGCGCCTAGGATCGACACGGGGGAGGAGGTGACCCCCTTCAGCTTCACGGTGCGGTGGGAGGCGCCCTCGTCTGCTTGCCGCGGCGATGTGCGCGGCTGCGTCGACGACCACGGCCTCGAGCTCACCGATCCGGAGCTCGAGGTCGACGGGCAGGTGGTGGACGACGTCGGAGACGAGTCGTACCGTGCCACCGACCTCAAGCCGGCGACGTCGTACGAAATGAGGGTCCGCTACTCCAACAGCCTCGGCGCCTCGGACTGGTCGGACGTCGCCTTCCTGTGGACCAACCCCACCGTCCCTGACCAGCCCGATCTGCCTGCCTGCTCCGAGTCGCTCAGCTCCCCGAACATGCTCGCCGTCGTGCCTGGCGAGGTCACCTCCAACGGCAAGGACATCGACGAGTGGGAGTTTGAGACGCGGCCGACGGCCGAACGACTCCTCGACTATGCATCAACCAACATCAGCGCTGCTGACTTAACGAATCCGTGCGGCGGCCTGCTGTTCGACAGCCTTCCCTCCGAGCTCGCGACGCCGCCCCCCGCCTGCGACGGCGCCGCCCTGCTCACCGACGGCGTCGCCACGCCCGCGGCGGAGTACGAGGTGCGCGCCCGCGCGATCAACGCGCTCGGCGCGTCGCCGTGGTCCGAAGTGGTGATCTGCTCGACGCTGCCCGAACCCGTGGAGCCCTTCCCCCTCATCTACCTCATCGTCGGCCTCGGCGGCGCCGTGCTCTGCCTGGTCTGCGCGATGGTCGCCGTCTGGAAGACGAACCTGCGCAAGGTGATTGCGCCCAAGCTGCGCCGGAAGAAGCCGAACGACGAGCCGCTCAAGACGTTTGTGACGCAGGAGGCGGTGCCCAACGAGGAGGAGGACCCTGAGCTGGTGATCAACCCGATCATGCTGGCGCGGCACCACATGGAGGAGGACCACAAAAGGGCCAAAGACAAGAAAGCAGCGAAACGCAAGGGAGGGCAAGGCAGGACGGGCGGCCTGAAGCGGCTCTGGGGAAATGAGAGCGTAAGCGGAACAGCCGCAGCGAGCACGAGCCAGCCAATGAACGGCAAGGCAATCGTGGATGGCTGGCTGGCAGCAGAGCGTGCACGAGAGACGGCGGTCAACGGGGTGGTCCAGCCCGAGAAGCCGGCCGGCAAGGACAAGGGCAAGGGCAAGGGCAAGGCGGGGAGCTCCAAGACCAAGCCCTGATGCATCGCATCGAGTTGAATAGAGAGGATGAGCACCACACGCGCGCTCTCTCATCGGATACCTTTACTATGATGGCATGCTTCGTTTGTTGTGGCCGAGTACAGTGTGTACATGGTGGCATGCTTCTTTCGTTGTGGCGAGCAGTGTACGTAGCTCACCCAGTGTACGTAGCTCACACAGTGCAGTCTTCTGTTGAGGCGGCCGGGCGGTAGCCCATTCGTTACGCTCGGGTGTTGAGTAGTTCAGTCTAATAAATGGAACCAACTCTCAGAGTTCACTTCTGGGCTCTAAGGGGAGGGGGGGGGGGTGCAGCGTTATAGCCCTCTCTCTTTTTGGTATATAGAAAAATCTCAGAAGCTACTCTCAGAGTCAGACACAACAACCTTGCTCCCGAGAGTGGTCCTGAAGGCAGTCTAGGTGCGTCCAGGCAGTCACGAAATCTCTCAGTCTCTAGATTGAGTGGAGTGAGACTGAGAGATTTTACTTACCTAAGGACCCGTTTAGAGGAGAACAGACGGCGAGCGGCGCACGCGAGGGCGACCACGTAGGAGAAAACAGACGGGACGAGGGGAAGGAAAAGCGGCCCGCCAGGACGCGGAGGCAGACGGCAAGATACGTCGCCGGCCCAGCGACAGGAAGCGCAGGAAAACAAAGAGAACCAGACCAGGAGCATGGAGACGAGGGAAGGCGCGAGGCGCTCCGCCGACAAGCAGCAGAGGCGGCGGCGAAAGTAACGACGGCCATGCTAACGACGGGCGGCACGGTGGTAGGGGCGAAGGTAGGCCCCTCTAGCATAGCGGAAGGGGAACTCGGCCTACTGGCGACGAGGAGGCTGGAAAAATTCGAGGTGTGTAGCATCTACACTGGGGAGATCTTCCGGACAGGAACGGCGCAGCCACCAGAGGCAGTACCAGCCGAACTGTCACGACACACGGCAGCAGGGGGGACGCAGCTGGATGGAAGTGACGACGAGAGCGAGGACGACTTTGACAGCGTCGCGGCGAGGCACGAGGGCGACGCACTTCGTACGCTACGAGGAGATACAATTAGGCAAGGCAGCTGCGCAGGTGATGGTCCTGTTTGCAGAGAGAGGAGTCAAGGAAGGCCAAGAAATCACATGGTCATATGGGGACTCATACAGGAGCCACCGCAAGGAGATGGGATACAAGGCGGGGACGAAGGCGGATCCGAACGCAATAACACCCCAGCAAGCCCGGACGGCATTTGCGAGATACTGCAAAAAGATAGACGTGACGAAGGAGGAGCTAGCGTGGAACTTTGGATGCATATCGGCAAGCCAAAGTAACGAGCAGGAGGCTGTCCTGGTGCGTGAGCTAATCCTGAGCAACAATAAGCGACTGTACCTCGGAGCACAGAGCGCAGCAGACAGGACGGCGGCGACGGCGGACATGGCAGAGACGAATGTGAGACAAAGGGCGGCGGGGATGGAGGGCGGGAGCGACGGGGATGGTGACGGTGACGGTGGCGAGGCAGAGGAAGGGGGTCCATTAACACCAGACAGCGAGAGGGGCAGGGAGGAAAGGGGGAGAGAGGAAGCCAACGGCGATGCCACCAGCGGCAGGGGACACGATGAACAGGTAGACAACGGCCAAGGCGATGGCGAGGACGAGGAGACACGGGACGATGGCAGGCGAGACGAGGAGGACGGAGGCGAGGGAAGAGGCAGCGCCACAGTCGACGGAGGCGACAACGATGGAGAGGGGGAGGGAACGACAACGCGCACAGAGGATGAGGATATAAACTGGGACGACGCAGCGGAGGGGATAGACGAGGGAATCGAGGGACCGGAGGGCTTTCGCGACAGCGACGATGACGACGAAGGCAGGGGAGGAGACGGAGGGGCGACACGCAGGAGGAGCGAAATCGCGAAAACGGCCCGAGCAGAGAGGGCGACGGCGGAGCACGAGGGAACAACGGAGACACTACCGATGACGCGAACCGAGGCATGGACGACGGAGGGGACGGGGACGGGGAGGGCGACAGCGACGTCGAGGTTGACGCAACGGTATCGAGAGCGCCACCCAAAAGGAGTCGGACAGCCATGGAGGTCACCGAATGGAGGGCGAACGGCACGATACGAAAAGGCAGGGCGAGGCGGATGGAGAAAGAAGTGCCGAGGAGGCCATGGTGGAGGGGAGGGACGGGAGGACGAAAGAAGGGCGAGGAGGACGAGCGGCCCGCACAGACCGCGAGCAGACAGCGCCTGCTGGCCATTTCGAGACATTCGCAAAGAACGCTAGCTACATGGGAGGGCTTCGTGAAGGATGGATTGAAAAACATTCGAACAAAGAAGAGGCGACGGGAGGAACCGGCAGAGGATGCAGTGACGTGAGACACACACACACACACACACACACACACACACACACACACACACACACACACACACACACACACACACACACACACACACACACACACACACACACACACACACACACACACACACACACACACACACACACACACACCGCTCACCCACGCGCACCGGGCCTTGCACTTTAAATGCCGTGGGGCTCCTGTCGTTAGACGTGGAGACGCGAGGGTTGCCCCCCCTTGCCCCACCACCTCGTGTGTGTGGAGAAGTTTACCTTACCTTACCTTAGGACCCGTTTTGGGGACGCACAGGACAACCTTCACAGCTCACAATTCACTATCGTACTACGACCTTCATGAAGGGTAATTTTTCTGGGCGTGTGTGAGGAGCGGGAGTGCGCTCCGGACAGCTAGCTCGACATCCGCTCGGTCTAAGCCTAGGAGATTGCAGAGAGCGGAAGTCGCTCGCCGCCTGCCTGGCTGCCTCAAGGTCAGACGCCATACGTGGCAGCGATCTCATCGGCCTGGCGCTGTCGCCCCGCCTTCTTCAGCAGCGCGGCAAGATTGCGGGCTGAGCTCTGCGTCTCCTCATGCCCCTCCCCGTACCGAGCAGCGCACCCCTCCAGCTCCTCCCGGAAGAGAGTGATGGCGTCGCCGAGCCTGCCCTGGTCCTGCAGCAGCAAGCCGAGGTTGTAGATCGAGGTAAGCGTGCCCGGGTGCCGGTCACCGAGCGTCTCTCGCCTCGCCCCCAGCGCCTCGCAGTACAGCGCCTCCGCGCCGTCCAGGTCGCCCTTGGCGTGCAGCAGGAAGCCGAGGTTGTTGACCGAGGTGAGCGTGTCCGAGTGTCGGTCGCCGAGCGTCTCTCGCCTCGCCCCCAGCGCCTCGCAGTACAGCGCCTCCGCGCTGTCCAGGTCGCCCTTGGCCCTCAGCAGCCCGCCGAGGTTGTTGACCGAGGTGAGCGTGTCCGAGTGTCGGTCACCGAGCGTCTCTCGCTTCGCCTCCAGCGCCTCGCAGTACAGCGCCTCCGCGCTGTCCAGGTCACCCTGGTCCTGCAGCAGCGTGCCGAGGTTGTTGATCGAGGTGAGCGTGTCCGGGTGCCGGTCACCGAGCGTCTCTCGCCTCGCCCCCAGCGCCTCGCAGTACAGCGCCTCCGCGCCGTCCAGGTCACCCTGGTCCTGCAGCAGCGTGCCGAGGTTGTTGACCGTGGTGAGCGTGTCCGAGTGTCGGTCGCCGAGCGTCTCTCGCCTCCCCTCCAGCGCCTCCCGGAAGAGAGTGATGGCGTCGCCGAGCCTGCCCTGGTCCTGCAGCAGCGTGCCGAGGTTGTAGATCGAGGTAAGCGTGTCCGAGTGCCGGTCACCGAGCGTCTCTCGCTTCGCCTCCAGCGCCTCGCGAAGCAGCATCTCCGCGCTGTCCAGGTCGCCCTTGGCCTTCAGCAGCAAGCCGAGGTTGTAGATCGAGGTGAGCGTGCTCGGGTGCCGGTCGCCGAGCGTCTCTCGCCTCGCCTCCAGCGCCTCGCGAAGCAGCATCTCCGCGCTGTCCAGGTCGCCCTTGGCCTTCAGCAGCAAGCCGAGGTTGTTGATCGAGGTGAGCGTGCCCGGGTGCCGGTCACCGAGCGTCTCTCGCCTCGCCTCCAGCGCCTCGCAGTACAGCGCCTCCGCGCCGTCCAGGTCGCCCTTGGCCTTCAGCAGCGTGCCGAGGTTGTTGATCGAGGTGAGCGTGTCCGGGTGCCGGTCACCGAGCGTCTCTCGCCTCGCCCCCAGCGCCTCGCAGTACAGCGCCTCCGCGCCGTCCAGGTCACCCTGGTCCTTCAGCAGCGTGCCGAGGTTGTTGATCAAGGTGAGCGTGCTCGGGTGCCGGTCGCCGAGCATCTCTCTGCACCCCTCCAGCTCCTCCCGAAAGAGAGTGATGGCGTCGCCGAGCCTGCCCTGGTCCTTCAGCAGCAAGCCGAGGTTGTTTATCGAGGTGAGCGTGTCCGAGTGCCGGTCACCGAGCGTCTCTCGCCTCGCCCCCAGCGCCTCGCAGTACAGCGCCTCCGCGCCGTCCAGGTCGCCCTTGGCCTTCAGCAGCGTGCCGAGGTTGTTGATCGAGGTGAGCGTGTCCGAGTGCCGGTCACCGAGCGTCTTTCGCCTCGCCCCCAGCGCCTCGCAGTACAGCGCCTCCGCGCTGTCCAGGTCACCCCGGTCCTGCAGCAGCGTGCCGAGGTTGTTGATCGAGGTGAGCGTGTCCGGGTGCCGGTCACCGAGCGTCTCTCGCCTCGCCCCCAGCGCCTCGCAGTACAGCGCCTCCGCGCTGTCCAGGTCACCCTGGTCCTGCAGCAGCGTGCCGAGGTTGTTGACCGTGGTGAGCGTGTCCGAGTGTCGGTCGCCGAGCGTCTCTCGCCTCCCCTCCAGCGCCTCCCGGAAGAGAGTGATGGCGTCGCCGAGCCTGCCCTGGTCCTTCAGCAGCAAGCCGAGGTTGTTTATCGAGGTGAGCGTGCCCGGGTGCCGGTCACCGAGCGTCTCTCGCCTCGCCCCCAGCGCCTCGCAGTACAGCGCCTCCGCGCTGTCCAGGTCACCCCGGTCCTCCAGCAGCGTGCCGAGGTTGTAGATCGAGGTGAGCGTGTCCGAGTGCCGGTCACCGAGCGTCTCTCGCCTCGCCCCCAGCGCCTCGCGGTACAGCGCCTCCGCGCCGTCCAGGTCGCCCTTGGCCCTCAGCAGCCCGCCGAGGTTGTTGACCGTGGTGAGCGTATCGGGGTGCCGGTCACCGAGCGTCTCTCGCCTCCCCTCTAGAGCCTCGCGGTGCAGCGCCTCCGCGCCGTCAAGCTCGCCCTGGTCCTGCAGCATCAGGGTACGAGCACAGAGCAAGGTGTCTTCGTGGTCTTTTCCGTTCGCCTCGATACTGACGCTGAGCGCCTCGCGCAGCAGTGGAACTGCGCTGTCCGCGTCCCCCATGACTACCAGTAATTTGGCCACGTGGTAGATCGAATCGATCAACGAATCTTGGGGATCGCCCGCTATCTTGCGGCTCACCTGCAGCGCTTCGCGGAATACCTCGAGGGACTCCTTGAGCTCCCCTTGCTTGTACAGCAGCACGCCAAGATTGAGGAGCTCATAAGCCTGGGTATACCTGCCCCACATTGCGTGCGTACATCTGAGCTCTTCGCGGAAAAGTGGAATCGCCCGCACCAAGTCTCCTCGCAGTGCGTAGAGGCAGCCAAGCTCCCAAAGCGCATGCTCAGGTGCTGCACCGCAGCTTCTAAGTCCAGCACGCGCCTCGTCGAGCAGCACCTCTGCCTGATCATCTTGCTCTCTCTCTGCGCACAGCCTGCTGAGGTCGCCCTTGATGTATGAGCTGAGCTTCACGTCTTCGCTGAGGTCCAGCGTCTCGAGGAGCACAAGCTCCGCCGAGTCAAGTTGGCCATCGGAAAGAAGCGCACGTCCCAACGCATGCTTGAACTCCAAGAGGAGGTGCGCTTGCGGGGCGTCTGGCCCAACGAAGAGGTCGGCATACTTGGTGGAGAGGCCGTCCACTCCCTGGCGAAGAGCGGACACGGCACAAACAGCATCGTAGGCACAGCATGTGAGCGTTCTTCGGTCTTGTGCCGCGTATTCAGCCCCCATCAGGCACAGGATGATGTGCCAATTTGAGCCACGTGCGCGCTGCAACCATTCCCTGAGTATCCCAATGCTCACCCCGTCCGAATATTTCACGCCGCAAGTCTGGCAGGCGACAACGTTCCAATAGCTGTCGGATGTGCGCCGCCATCGTTCAAGGCACGCTGCGTGCACCCATCTTGTTGAGCCGCGGCATTTGCACGGGTCGACGAGCTCGCCGTCGCTGTCGTCTCCCAGGCATATGCGACAAGAGCGATCTTTGGACGCCATGTTGCACTGAAGGACTTGGGACGCCATAATGCACTGACTAGCTGAGGGGCTCGCTAAACGCTCGCCGAGCTCCATGCTGTGCAACACCACCTCCTCACTAATCGTCAGGGGCGCGGAGAGCGCAGTGCACTGCGGTGAGGCTGCGCCGCGGGGGCTCGCCCCCTGCACCGCGCTCAGAGCGGCGTAGGGGAGAGGGCGGTCGGTGGCGGCGGCGGCGAGGCGCGAGGCGGTGGCGGCGGTGGTGCGGGCGGCGGGATGACAGGGGAGGCGGCGGGATTGACAGGGGAGGCGGCGGCCACGAGCGGAGCGGCGCGAGAAGGGGGGGGGGCGGCGGCGAGGCGCCGGTGAGCGAGGCGCCCGCGCCATCAGAGGGACGCGCCGCTGCGAGATGGAGGGCGGCGGTGACGGAGGCGAGGCGCGAGGCGGCGGCGGCGGCGGCGGCGGCGGCGGCGGCGGCGGCGAGAACGGCGGCACCGAGTCTCGGTGAGCGGCGGCGGGAGGAGGAGCAGCGGCGGCGCTCGCTCGCTGTTGACGGGAGCGCTTTTGAGCCTGGGAGCCCATGCCACTGCGACCGGCGTGCCCGGGAACGGAGATCGCGCGCGCGCCGCCACTCACGACGCGCGCGCGATCTTCGCGGAGTCGGGTCCCCAGAGGGAAGCGGTCTTCTCGGCCGACGTCCAGCGGCGCGCAAGGAAGCAGGCGCAGCGGAGGCGGCCTAGCACCGGCTCGGCGCCGGGCGGTTGCGCTGCCCGCGAGCCGCGTCCTGAGCCTCGGCAGCGCGCTGCGCGGCGCGGCGCTCGCGCTGCTGCGGTGCCGAGAGCGGCATGATGGATCGCCAGCTGAAGCTCGAGACTCCTCGGGTCCGCGAGTTCTGGGGGTCACCGGGATAAACGGCGGACGACGCGAGGCCCTTATATCTTTAGAAGGAGGGCTGAGCGCGGCTCACATGCGGGACGCGATGACAAGACCTTGCCGGTTCCTTCGTTTTTTGTTTTGGTTTTTTCGGTATCGTCCACGCCCCATCCCACCAGTCCCTCCCCATCACCCCATCCCCAACCTCTTCTTCCCCCACCCTTCGTGTAATCATGTAGTCCCCACAATCGCTGACGTGGGATCGCTTGTCATGTGAGAGAGTGCGTTGTGTTCTTGTTTCGTATCCGCTCTCTCTTTTAGCGGTCGAAGTGCACCTTTGGTCTTCACCCCACAAAAGCACGGCCCTGGACCCAAGATCCTTGCCAGGAGCGTGCACAGCCCCGCGCGTGAACTCCGCTCCTCCGCACGCTGCACTCTCTCTCGCGTGGTGCAGGTGCCGGAGGGCGAGTCGGCGCGGGAGCCACGGCTCTACTCGACGATGGGCGGCAGCGTGTCCAGAGACGAGAAGTGGTCGGAGGAAGCGGCGGCGTTGTGGACGACGCGTCTTCGACATGTCGTTCGGGCGGCCTGGCTCCCGTCCTCCAGGAGGAAGTCGTGCGCGCCAACGGTCTCCTCCTCTTCTCCGGCCTCCTCCTCGCCCCCGTCCTCCGCCTCGCCCCCCTCTTCCTCCCCCTCCACGCCCGCCGCGCCCTCGCCCTCCTCGCCGTGCGTCAGCGCGTACAGCATTCGCTCAAACTCAATCTGCCGCACCGCCTCCGCCTCCAGCTGGCGCCGCCGCGCCACCTCTGTCTCCGCCAACGCCCTCTCTCGCCGCCACGAGACGCCGAACGCCTCGCGCACGCCGAGGTTGGCAAATGCGGCGCCCACGAGCAGCATCGCCGGGTCACCGAGCATGAGCAAGCCGAGCGACTCGCCAGTCACCTAACGCGCACCGGGGCGCCGCCTCGGGCAAGCCGTGGGGCAAGCTGAGCGGGCAAGCCGTGGGGCAAC